CAACAACGAGAACCTGAAAACAAACAGACAAGGCGTAGTTCAGTTACAATCCATGGAGACAAACGTTATACTTCAACTCAACAAGGTCCTCATCGTCGACAACTTGGGATACAACTTACTAAGCGTAAGCCAACTAATGGCAAAAGGGATTCACCTGGAGTGCGACTCCTACTTCAACGAGTTTCGCCTTTACCACGGGAAGGGCGGTCTCTTCATCGGTCGCGCTCTCCTGAAGTCCGGCGTCTTCGTGTTGGACTTCGTCCCCGACCGCGGTACTGCCGACAGCGACGGAATCGTGTCGTTCGCCGTCTAGACACACCCGCCGGATCTTGACCCCGACTTCGACCCTGATGGATTCTGGCACTCCAACACCATACCTGCAGCAGAGAGAACACGAGCATTAGCAGTCATCAGACAAGAAAGACAAGTACCAGCAAGTGTCCCTTCCCAACCATCACCTGCAGTAGCAGCAGCAGGACCCAGCCGAGTACCACCACCAGCGATCCGAGGACCGCCAACCGAAGCAGATCAACTTATGCCCATCACACGAGAAGTCTGTCGAAGTCCCGCCACAGTCGTCGCGTTCTTCTCCAACACCGACATATACCACCGCTCGCCCGGCCATCGCGCTCCCGACGACATCTGGCACCAACGACTCGGGCACCCTGCAAATAGTACAATACTATAAACCATCCAAGCCGAAGTGTTAGAACGCAACGCTCTCCTAACAACGAGCGGCCAAGAACTTCGACGACTACGCGCACGGTGCTTTACGTGCCCCGAAGCTGATCTTCCCTACCAGTCTTTCCCATCTCATCACAACCCAAGCGCACCTGCATACGCACCGATGGAAAAAGTCTACAGCGACATTTTAAACATGCCTCGAGAAGACGCTGAAGCCGACTTCAACTATGTCATCACGTTTATCGACGCAGCAACAAGATACGTCTGGCACTACAACCTCAAGACACGCGATCAAGCCTTCGACGCCTTCACGACATGGCTACCCATCGCCGAACGAGAATCCGGAACCAAGCTCAAGAGCTTCCAGTCAGACGGTGCACTGGAATACCAGTCACAACGCTTCAGGACCTATCTGGCGGAAAGGGGAATCAGACGCCTGGTGTCTCTGCCCTACGCTCACCAGCAGCAAGGGGTCGCAGAACGCATGAACCGGACCTTGCAGACGACGATGCGAAAGCTGCTCCTGGGGATGAGACTGCCTACCACACTGTGGCCAGACGCGATGACACATGCAGTCCACCTGCACAACCTGTTGTCCTCGTCATCGCTTCCCAACAACGCATCACCGCACCTGCTGTGGACACAAAAAAGGGGCAGCACAAAATTACTTCGAGTTTTCGGCTGCATGGTACAATACAGACCCCACACAGCCCGAGCAGGACGCTTCACTCAACGAGCTCGGTGGGGACTACACCTCGGCATCGCAAAACATTTTCACGCTTGGAAAATCCTCGACATACAAGACAAAAATACCGTGGCATCACGTGATGTTATCTTCTACGAGCGACTGACGCTGCAGCATTACCTGGACAACATTGCCAACACACACGACCCCACCGACGGCTTTGCGGGCCTTCGTTCCTTCGCCGACCGTGCTGCCGAGGCTGACGCAGCAGAAGAAGACGTAACTGGAGCCTCGGAAACTGCCGGACCACTCCCTTTCTGTTCCGTACCTGTTCAACTCGACGAAGACAATCCTCTCAATAGTAACAACCTCGACACCTTTTATCACTTCGCTGACCAAGGATAAATTACACCCCACCCGGTCGACACAAATGTTTCAGAACGCATCGGCCCCAACTTCTTACCTGATCCAGAAGACGGTGAGGAAGCAGCCTATTCCGGGAATGAAAATTCCCCTCGACACACACCCACGGGACTGCAGATCCTCGGCCTCTGGGAATCCGTCCAGCATCCGCCGCCGCCATCTCCGCGCGAGCCCTCGACTTTGTCGCAGGCTCTGGGGGGGGAACATAAGGCAAAATGGAAGGAGGCGATGGAAAAGGAGCTAAAGGCTCTGCAAGACCGAAATACATCGAAGCTGGTACCTACAACAAGCATCAACGGGAAGAACGTCCTCTCGGGAAAATGGGTCTACCGCATCAAGACCAACGCGGACGGCTCCATCGAACGATTCAAAGCTCGATGGGTCGTACGAGGCTTCAATCAACGATACGGAACCGACTACACAGAAACTTTTGCCCCAGTCTCCCGTCACACCTCCCTGCTCATCCTACTCGCCGTCGCGGCCACGAAGAAACTACCACTGCGCCAAATCGACGTCGCAAATGCCTTCCTGTACGCACCTGTGGACGTCGAGATCTTCGTCGAGCAGCCCCACGGATTCATCGACGACCCTACAAAAGTATGCCAGCTGATAAAATCCCTCTACGGGATCAAACAAGCTCCGCGGCTGTGGCAGCAGCATCTTCACGGCCGCCTCGTCAGAATCGGCTTCCTACAACTGCAGCACGACCAAGGCATGTATCGAATACAGAAGGAAGAAGCCTTCATCCTTCTCATCGTCTACGTCGACGACCTGCTCTACATCGGCTCCACTACCGACATCGCCCCTTGGTTCGAAGGGGAGCTGAAAGAAGACTTGACACTCACGGTGTCCGACGCAGTGACCCAGTACCTGGGACTGAATGTCATCGAAGACAACTCGGCGTTCTACCTACACGCTGGAAAGTACGCAGGCACTGTCGCGAAGAAATTCGGTCTAACGCCGACTACGGTCCCAACTCCCTACCGCTACGGGAACAACAACAGCACCTCCGCAAAACTCCCCGTGAAGCAAATCCAGGAGTATCAACAGAAGCTCGGCTGCCTACTATTCGCAGCAGTAACATGCCGACCCGATCTATCTTATAGCGCGAGCCAACTGGCGACGCATCTGAAGCAGCCGGAACAAGAAGATCTCGAGGAACTCAACCGGGCACTACTCTACTTCGTCTCCACGCCGACGACCGGGCTTACCTACAGTGAAGTAACAACACCGTCCGTACGACTACTCGGATACGTCGACGCCGACCACGCGGGAGACAGGGAAAACCGACGATCGAGAACGGGCTACATCTACCGACTAGAACCTATCGGGACTATCTCTTGGCAGTCGAGCAAGCAGGAACTAATCGCACTATCTTCGGCTGAAGCAGAATATATCGCCCTCTGTACTGCGACCAAGGAAGGACTCTACCTACGAGAGTTGCTAGAGGAAGCGAAGATTGCGACCCTGCCCGCCTTCTCACTCCTGTGCGACAACCAATCTGCGATCAAAATCGCGAACAAGGACGGCTTCGCCAACCGAACCAAACACATCGCCCTGCGGTACTTCTTCGTCAAGGATGAAATCGCGAAGGGGAGACTTCAACTTAGTTACTGCCCTACGACAGAAATGGCCGCAGACTATCTGACGAAGAAATTGGCGAAGGCAAAAATCGATTACTGCATGCTGCTGACCGGGCAGACAAACGTCACCGGATCTGAACACGTCAGCACTCCAGAAACAAAGGGGAGTGTTGGAAATATCTCAAAGGACTTAAGCGTTTCTGAAGTGTAACACTACACTCGAGGAAGATCGCAACGGGTACGCGAGTCAACGGAGGTTACACGAGGGGATGGGCAAAGAACGCGAAGGGACTTGAAGAGTCGCAACTGGAGGTTGCGACTGACCGTTACAACAGCGCGGATGGTAACCGAAGCAACAATCGAGTCGCTGTGCGACTCGATAACCGCTCTTGCAACTGTATTCTACAACTGCTTTACTTTCCTATTTTCTATATATTGCTGTATGCTTGCTTCTTTAATCAATCACTAGTTCTCATATACTAGTACAAGGGTTCAACTACCTCAACTTCCGCTGCACTACTCAAGTCTTTTACAACTGGGACTTAGTCTCTGGAAAGATCCTAAGGGCTTTTCTCAGCCCAACACCCTCTACAGTAAAGTTCGGTAACCTACCAAGCCTAACAATTATATAACTCAATATATAATTTAACACACCCCCTAGGCTTGGTAGCCACAAGCCCACACACACCCCCACACCCCCCTAACCTAGCACCCCATTCCAATCAGTCACGTCTACTCCAGCAGAGCCAACCCCAAGGCCCGGGAGATGGCGACGGCGGCCGTCCCGGCAGCGGCGACAGCGACGGCGACGTCGGGCGTGCGGCGGCAACAGGCCTGCGGCGACGGCAGCGGCGACGGCGACGGCTTCGGCTTACGACGGCGGTAACGGCAGCGGCCCCCGCCCTTCCGGCGACGTGTCCAAACTCCCGACAGCAGGAAGGCCGGCGAGAGTCAGGCAGCGGCTGTGGCGAAGAGGAGGGGACAGAGAAAAGGGGGAAGTGGCGGGGGTTCGGATCTTCAGCGCGGTGCCATTGCTGGTGCGGCGCTTACTGGCGTGCGGGCGGGCGGTCTAGCGGCGCCACAGGCGTCGCGCGGCCGGCTGCAGCCCGACGTCGCCGTCATAGAGCGGCGCCGACGCCGCGGTGGGACGTCGACGCTGCGACGGCAGCACGACGGCCCGACGCCACGGCAGCGCGTCAGGACGGCAGCGGCACGACGCGGCCAGCGGCATCACGACACCGCCACTGCAGCACAACGCGGTCGCCATGGCCGCACGAGCGAACGAGGGTGAGTACGCGGCGGAAGCGTGAGGAGGCGGTCCAGCAAGGAGGAACTCCTGCTCTGATACCATGTTAGAAGGCTAGCTTAGCTAGGAAGCTAGGAAAGGCATGAGGTTTAGCTAGGAGGAGCCATGGAGTGGCGTGAGGTTTAGGAAGGAGAAAAGTTGATGAGAGAAAAGAGGGTTGGAATAGAAAGAGAGGCATACAAAGAGGGGATTGTACCCTCTACAGTTAAGTTCGGTAACCTATCAAGCCTAACAATTATATTACTCAATATTTAACAGGTATTTCAAAATTATTGATTCAGTTCTGTTCCTATTGCTACCCATTCTTGGCAATTGTCTTGAAGTTACCGTACATATATTGCTGTAATTGTTCGTATCAATTGCAATGGACTAAGGAACAGCTACCCATTCTATCACACATATCTATATGAATCTTTACCTAGGTGCATGCGCTACAGCTTCCTGCTGGCCTAGATGTTCCATGCTTGAAAGCAAGCAACTGAATTCTGCCCAGCCTACCTTACAGAGGGGAATATCTTTTCTTGCACATCACGTTAAAACGACTCCTCTTGCCATATCAAAGCAGCTGGCGGTGCTGCAGATGCCTATGGCAGCGCAACAGCTGGCAGTAGCACAGGGGCAGGGGTGGTCAGTAGCACACTGTAGCAGAGACAAGTGGTTATAGCACAGAAACAGGAGCGGGTTGCAATACAGCCACAGGGGCAGCTTGTAACGGGGTTACAACTGCAGCACCAACTGGTTGTTGTGCCTCAAACGAAGCCTGCATTAGCGCCACAGCAGAACCTCCCCCCACTGCGCCTGCCGCCGTTTCTGGCACCAACGCCGGGAGAACGGATGGGAGCAACGCTGGCGGAACAGAAGCCACGGCGGAACGCTGGGCATCCGGAGCAGCAGCTGCTGCTGCTGCTGCTGCTGTTTGAGGCGCGCACGCTACAGAAAAGTTAGCAGCAGCGGGGGGAGCAGCAGGGACGGTAGCGTGGGCACTGGGGAAAGCGGAGTTAGGATAGGAGGAGGGGGGAATGGCGGGAGGCGAAGTGGCGGAGGGGGCTGATCCACGTGTCTGCGCTGGCGCAGGGGCAGCAGCAGCGATAGCGGCGGCGGAGAGGTGAAGCGCCTGCGCCTGTGTTGCATGCGCCTGTGCTACTTCCGCCTGCGCAGCTTGCGTTGCTTCCGCCTGCGCCTGTGCGGAGGCTTCCAGCGCGCGTTGCAGCCCCGCGAGCTCCTGCTGCGCTACAAGCAGCTCCGTTTGCAGGTGAACCACGTGATGCTGGAGTAACGAGATCGCGCTCACGCAGCCGTAAACCGGGTCGTGCATCCGCGCCTCCGCCTCGTACGCCATGCTATTCGCCGCATCGGCGCGCTGCTCCGGCGGAAGTTCCGCCAGAATCCGCGTCACGTTGCTGGCGCCGAACACTCGGTGAACATTCGCGAACCGGCTCGGCTGGTCCGGCGGGAAATACGGCGCGAAGACGCACTCCGCCGTGCATCTACGCCGGAGAAACTTGCACGCCGCGCACGGGGAAGCGGTTCGGCTACTATGAGGCTCCTCTAACGTACCATACGGGGAGGAAATAGCGGCGGTAGATGCGGCGGAAGTGTCGGAAACGCTGGCGCTCAAGGAAGTGACGGCGGAAGCCGCGGCCGCCACCGCCGCTGCCGCCCCTCCCGCGCTTACTGCTTCTGGTGGTGCCGCCGTTGCCGCTGCCCGTGCTTCGTGAGGAGTGGTTTTGCTAGGCGAGCCAGAAATCATTACCGTTATCAACGGAGTTGAAAACTTGATATGCAGAGTAATTCAGCCTTGGCGTGAATGGTACGTGCCGAGAACGACAAGCTTTAACTTGAAACTCGAACCCTGGCCGGTTTGACGCTCCTACTCCTGTCCTCTTGTCCTCTTCTCAAAGGGGAATAATTGCTCCGAAGCGACTTGGGAGTCGCAAAGCTCACACGGCGACCCGTAAAATGGTCAAAAGCTGGTGGTTTCGCCGAGAAGGAGCTCCGCAATAGCCGGAATTATTAAGGCTTAATGGCTAGTAGGTCGCGTGACCGTGAGTCTGGCGGAAGGGATGAGCAGCAATTCTCGCTGGCAGGCGAGGCGAGTTGTAAGACTTTACAGCAGAGAGCCGCAAAGAGCTCAAGGGGGTGCAGAGACCACGGACGCACGACATAAGGCAGGATGCGACGTTACTAGGCGACGTGTTGCTGGGGAAGCTGCGGGTTTCTGTTTTCAGGCGACGGGGAATAAAACGAGCGACGGAAAAGCGTGAGTGTTTGGGGTGGGGGAATACAGGTAACATGCAATGGACCGAGCGCAAGGGGAATGGTTTTGAGAGAGTAACTGTATAGAGGATGTGAGCGTGGAAAGGCGGGAGCATGGATGGCGGGAGAGGATGAATGGAGGGATGGATGGAGGAGGGATGGAGGAGGGTGGCGGGCGACGCGGTGGCGGCGGGTGAACCCGTGATTATTTTGTTTGACCAGGTGCGGTACATACAACACTACTTTGGCGCGAGTCAGCAGATGAATTGGTGATTACAGTTTGTAAGAGAATTACTGAGCACTGCATTACTACAGTGATATTCATGGAGGTAAGGAGCAGGCTGCCCTACTTAACACACTCTACTAAGTAGCATAATTTTCAAGGCGTGATTATTTTCGGTGTCATGCTAACCCCTGAATTTCGAAGCGGCTGGTATAGTTATCCTACAATCTGGTACAGTATCCAATGGCCTTGACTGATCGAGATGCCACTGCACCCAAATCTCCCGATGCCAGCAGGGAACAGGGGGACAATGCCAGAGCGGCGAAGTGGATGAGAGAAAGGCGCCTCCGAACGGCTCACGGAGAAGTGCTGACCAATAACGCAATCCAGATGCTAATTGGCGTGCGTGGATTACTACTTCCGATGACGTGTCAGCCTGCTTCGCAATTTGGACCACTTATGTGGACGACTAGAATTCGTTGGTCTGTCACTGGGCATTCCACTGACATGTCACGTATAAGCAACTCCAGAAATGAAGGAACTGCTGACGAATCGAATAATGGGTAGGGCGGACCGAAACCTCTTTTGTCGCTGCTCTGTTTGGGACAGCACATTCCGTCAATTAGGACACACTACAGAGACCGAAAAGCATATGCATATGCAGATCAAGAAGGAAGAAGCACACCCCAAGATGCTCGCATTGGAGATGCTATATGCACAGGAGCTCAATCCATTGAAACACTAAGCCCTGCCCAGCTGGAAATTAAAGAGGTGAAGCCTGTTGTGATAAATTCGTACTTAAGCATTTCTGTAAGTAGTTCCGATAGATATTGTCGAGTTACACTGTAGATAGCATCCGTAGAATCACGTCAGCAAATAGCGCTCGTCTGATGGTTATATCAGCAGGCCGTTTCAGTCACGCGAACAGTCGCGCTCTTTTCAGTAGCGGTTAGAGCGCATAGCGCAAATAGTTCGAACAGGTACATTACCGAATAGGTACTTCTAGTAGATTTAAAAATAGCGTGTACAACTTCAATTATTAACTTGTTCTTCAGTAAATTCTTGTCAGCACTTAACAAGTTCTAAGAATTCCGCTGTCTTACTAGTCTACCATTCAACAAAGATCCTTGGTAAAGTCTTGAAGTATCGCAAGGCTGTAACACTGACTCTGGTGCTACAACTTGCTAATACTGGCTGTTACTGGAGGTACTTATCAGAATTAGTGAAGTGAGTGATAGAGTGAGAGTACACACAGATATACCTAAGTGTTGTACCCTCTAAGAGGTGACCCTATACAGTCTATACAAACATGACAAATACACATGTTTGACACACCCCCTAGACTGCATAGGGGAATGCCCTAAACAAACAGCTCAGGGCGGCACTACTAGTCCAACCTCTGAGACAAGGGTCTAAGAGACCAGTCAGAAGGAGTACAGACAAGGCAAGCACAAGAGCAGGGCGGCACTACTAGTCCAGCCACTGGGAGAGGACAGAAGTCCAGTCTGAGTATACATATAAAGGACAGTACAAAAGTCAAGGTCCTAGCAAGTGAGAGGCTACAGGAACTAGACCAAGCTGTACACAGTGCCGCTGATGATCTTTAAGCGCAAGCGCCTTCGTAAAGATATCAGCCGTGTTGGCACCTGAGGCCAAGTGTACTACGCGAGCCTGGCGTCGCTGCTGTAGCTCACGCAGGAGGAAGTACCGCAGCTGAATGTGCTTCGCTCTGCCCTCGAGTCGAGGCTCCTGGCACAGGAGGATCATGGCCCTGTTGTCCGCAAACAGGACCGGGGCAGAGCTAGGCCGCTCACCTAAGTCAGAAAGCAAGAAGGTCAGCCAACGGAGCTCCTGTGCCGCCATGGCATCAGCGTAGACCTCAGCCTCACAGCTGGACTGCGCAACAGACGAGGAGCGGGTAGCTCTCCACGAGACGGCACCTGAGCCAAGGCTGAAGCAGTAGCCCTGGGTAGACCTGAGTGTCTCGGCGTCGTCTGCCCACGAAGCGTCTGTGTGTCCAGTAAGGACCACTGGCCTGCGTCCTCCTAGCACTAACCCCATGCCCGATGTACTAGCAAGATAACGCAGAACCCTCTTAGCGGCAGACCAGTGCTGCGGTCGGTGTCTGCCTGTGGCCACAAAGCGAGCCAGGATGCTGAGAGGGTATGCGAGATCTGGGCGAGTGAAAGTCATCAGGTACATGAGGCAACCCACTAGCTCTGCGTAGGGGCCGCTGGGCTCTACCAACTCCTCAGACACTGGAGCGGAGAGTCTGTGGTCTACAGGCAGAGGGGTGGGCTGTGCAGAGGAGAACTAAAGGCTGAACCTCTGAAGGACCTGGCGCACCAAGTGTGACTGAGTCAGGGTGATGGTGCGCGATGCTCTGTCCCTGGAGATCTGCAAGCCAAGGTAGCGGCGCCGTTCTCCAAGGTCAGTGCACGTGTGTCTCTTCAGCAGCTCTGCCTTCACGGAGGCCAGTGCGTCCCTGTCTGCTGTGGCAAAGACCAGGTCGTCGACGTGAACAAGGATGTAGAACGGAGTCTGGCCAGCACGAACGAAGAGTGAAGGGTCTGCGGAAGACGGAAAGAACTGCAGGTCAGCAAGCGTAGCACGGAGAGTGTCGTGCCACTCACGGGGAGCCTGGCGCAGGCCGTAGACGGGGCGCCGCAGGAGCCACTGGGTCCCAGGAGGGAAGGTGCCAGTAAAGCCCTGAGGGCGATGCAGGTAGACCTGCTCGTGTAGGCTGCCCTGAAGGAAGGCAGTGGAGAAGTCGAGGGAGTGAAGCTCGTAGTCACGCTGAGCAGCTACGTGTAACAGAACCCGAAGAGTAGTCATCTTCGGGGTCGGAGCGAAGGTCTAGAAGAAGTCCACCGCCTCGCGCTGACTGAAGCCTCTAGCCACATAGCGCGCCTTGAACATAGGTGGCTCTCCAGGAGGGCGCTTCACCTTGAAGAGCCAGCGGCCATCGACTACGTTCACCCCAGGTGGGGGAACTGCGTCGACGAAGGTGCCGGTGGATCTCCAAGATGCCATCTCCTGCTCCATGGCAGTTATCCACTGTGAGGCCCAGGGTCCCGAAGTCGCCTCAGCGTAAGTGCGAGGGGTCGGGATGTCGAAAGCGTCTGGGTCACCCTCAGGGACTAGCAGCATGGAACAGAGATGGGGAGCAGCCTCGGAGAGGAAAGCAAGCTCGAACTGGCGGTCCTCCAGGACGTCACTGCCAAGGGCAGGAGCACCCCCGACAGACGGAGGACAGGCAGGGTCAGAGACCAGAGCTGTGGCGTAGTCAAGGCAGCGGGTAGAGGCGAAGTCAACGACTGCAGCGACAAGAGCGTCAAGGCACGAGACCGGAACAGACGGGTCGGTAACGAGAGAGGCAAGGATCCGAGGAACAAGGGGACGAGCGGCACGAAGGTAGTCAGACAGCGGGAGGGGTGCAACAACAAGGGAGGACGGAGGAGGCGACGGCAGAAGGGGAGGACGAGACGCGTGGGAACGAAGCAACATAGGGTGGGAGCGCAAGACAGGCGAGGCAGGACGAGCACGGGAGGGACGGTGAGACCAGACGTGCGACGTAGGAGTCGGGTAAGGAGATAGGGGAGGGGACACAGGAGGGGAACGAGGGGGGAGACAGGCCGGGGACAAGTCCAGCGGAGGGAAAACAGGGCCGTAGACAGGAAGAGGAGGAGACGGTCGGGGAGGAACAGACGCAGGGTCAGGGGACGGAAGGCCGAGCAGGCGAAGGGCTGACACTGGCGGGGACTGCTGCTGCGGCGGCACAACAGCGACACCTGGACCTCAAGCTGCTCCTCGGCTACCACCGACACTCTCCACACCAGCACCCCCAGAGGGGCCACCCCCAGGGCGACCGGGACGAGCACCCCCAGAGGCAGCGAACGGGTGCTGCGACGACGGCGGCGGCGGCGACAACGACGGCTGCAGCGGCGGCAGAGGCGGTGGAGGAGGGGACTGGGGAGGGGACGCCAGGGGAGGGGCGGCCGGCGAGGACTGCACAGGAGGGCCACCAGAGTCAGAAGACTCCTCAACCGGGTCCTCCGACGGAAGGGGGGTGACGTGGGACACACCAGAGGGGGCGGGACGGGGAGGAGGAGGAGGAGGGGCAGGGACTTCCGGGGAAGGAGTGACCAGGAACAAGGGGGGGGTAACCGGGGGACCACGGTGGGGGAAGCGACGGTAGTAGGAAACGGACTCGTCAAAGGTGACGTCGCGAGAGTGAAAGAAGCGATGAGACGGCGGGTGGTAAAAGTGCCAGTCGGACGCGTCAAGGGGAAAACCGAGGAAGACGCAGGGAAGGGTTCGGGCAGTGAGCTTGTCCGTGCCGGAGGCACGAACGTGAGCAAGGCAGCCCCAGACGTGGAACGCAGACGCGTCACCAGGAGACCCAGTCCAAAGACGGGTCGGCGAAACCTGCGGCTGCTGAGGGTGCGGCCACAAGTTAAGCTGGTGAGAAGCGTAGCGCACAGCGAACGGCCACAGAAAATGGGGTGCACCGGCATGGATCATGGAGGTGCGAGCCACCTCCATGACCAAACCGATGCGTCGCTCAGCGACCCCATTCTGCTGTGGGGAGTCCGGTAGGGTGAACGTCTGGGTGATGCCCTCCGCACGACAAAAGCGACCAAGGACACCTGAGGCAAACTCGCCACCACGTCTGAGTGAAGACGCAAGACAGGGAGACCGCGGTGGACACGCGCAGAGACAAGCAAGGGGATGAGAGCGCCAGGCACGTCGGCCTTGCGCTACAGGGGAAAGACTGTGGTGTAACGAGTGAAGTCGTCGACAAGCACAAGGAAGTAGCGC